TCCTAATAATATCTTTTAGATATTTTATAATACATAGTATCAGTTCTTAAATGTCTAGCAGTAGGATGACTATGCATCATATAGAGAACAGGTTCTACTTCAGTCCATTTAATTACTCAAATAGATTTGTCTGGATCTTTTTGATTCTTTTTATATAACAATTTATCTTTAAGTTATTAATACTTTGATTATTTAATTAGTATCTGTTTTTTATTGTTCGTTAAGTCAGGAGGAATTTCGTCTGATTCTAGATAGATCACTAAATTTTGGTAGTGATCTAAATTTATATAAGAGCAATAGGTATAGGTTGGGTCTGGTTCTCAAGTCGAGATAGTGCATCAATATTTGGATAGATTTGTCCAAGTTTGTGTATAATAGTAAAATTATAGGATTGTAGCTTCATTATCTATTGGCCTAGTTGTCCTTTAGGCTGGGAGAATTTTAATTATTTGAGAGCAGAGTGGTCAGTAATAAGAGTAAAATGATCAGTTTCAAAATACTTATGGAAGTATTCAATAGCCCACACTATAGCAATACATTCTAATTCTATAGCTCTATAGTTTATTTCTTCTTTCTTCAAACTTTTACTAGCATATGTAATGGGATGTTCTTTTCGATTATCTGAAATCTGACTCAAGATAGCTCTAAATCTGGTATAAGAAGCATCAGTAGCCAGTATAAACTCTTTCTTGTAGTTAGAATAAATTAGTATAGATGTAATAACTAATCTTTGTTTGAGTTCATCAAATGGCTTTTGATAGTTCGAGGTCTATTCATAAGGGGTATCCTTATATAGTAACTAATTAAGAGATTGAACAATAGAGGAAAAGTGTTTGATGAATTGACAGTAATATCCAGCAAGTCCTAAGAAAGATCTTAGTTGAGTGACACTTGTTAGGAATAAGATATTTTGTATAGCAGCTATTTTGTCTAGGTCTGGAGAGATTCCTTTTTCTTCTATAATATGTTCAAGAAAGGGTAAATATTTCATTTAAAAGTTACACTTTTCAATATTAAGCTTTAATTCAGCTTTTCTAATTCTAGTAAATACTTTTTGTAAATACTTAATATGATCATCAAAAGTTCAAGAAAATACATTAGTATCATCAAGATAAACTACAACATATTTGTAAGCTATATCCTTATAAACCTGATTCATGAGTTGTTAAAAGTTGCAGAAGCATTACACAATTCAAATGGCATTACATTAAACTCATAAGTACTAAGGGCCGATCACACAACTCTTCCCAATGATTACTTGTACCAAATTCTCTCTACAAACAATTAGTTTTTTTTTAGAAAATTTTACTAAGTAAACTACAGTTAGCTGTCTAAATAAACTTGTTCTATACAAAATTTTACATATAGATAGCCCTTTATTGTATCTCTTTAGCCCTTCTACGAAGAGATATAATATATTTGTTTAAATTTATTTTTACTTATAAATCTCAAAATTTAATTAAGTAAATACCACTACCTTTTTAATAGCAAAAGATAGAGCTCATCTAGAGCTTCATTTTGATATATAATATATAGAAAACAGACTTAAACTCACATTTTTATCTTTAAAACTCTGCAAACTCTCTTGCAAAAATTCTTTGCTATTTTTTTGCAAAATTTTTTGTGTTTTTGGAGGGGTCCTGGCTCCTTAGGACGCCCAAACCTGCAGATCGCTATTACAAATTAATATTACTAATTAATTTACACAAAAATATTATCTGTTTCATCTATTTTTATCTTTATTTTTAATTTACTATTTTAGTCTTAATAACTTTACATAACTTTTGTTACACTATTGTTACGTTACACTAGGTCACACAAGTATACAAGCCACACTAGCCACAATATTCTTATCTTGTTGTTACACAAGGTTATACAAGGTTACACTGACCAGCCACACTAGCCGCAATTTAATTTAACACCTATTTTTAATTCAACTCCTAAAAACAACTTTGTTAAATTTAACAAAAATAAGTTTTTTTTAGTAAAAACTTGGAATTTTTTTAACAAAATACCTACTTTAACTAACCAGGAACCAGATCACTATGACCTGAACTACGTAATAAAACTTTATTACTGATTTGGTAATCATAGAGTTTAATATGTTGATCGTGATACTTCTTTTGTTTATTTTGTGCTTTAATTATATTAGTTTGTGCTTCAATTCTTTGTTGAGGTAGACATTTAATTAACTTGTATATGTGATGTAATAATTTTTTGTGGGGCATTATTCTACAAATGTTGCCCATATCAGTTATAAATTGAAATTCTACAGGTAGTACTGCATCTTGGCTATACAATAAATTAAATGGTTTAAATTTGGTAGTTGTTTGTTGATGTATATGATATGCAAATAGAACAGAAGGTATATGAACATCCTAATCTGTAGAAAATGTGACAACATATTTTGCCAAAGTTTCACATAAAGTTCTGTTAAATCATTCAACAAGTCTATTTGTTTTGGGATAATAACTAGAGGATAGTTTGTGTTTAGTTCCTAAATATTTATAGAGAGAGTCTATTATTTCATTTACAAAGTGTATTCCTTGATCTATTAATAGTGTTTTTGGACAACTGTATCTACAAATTATATCTTCATAAAAAAATTTTGCTACAGTGAGGGCTAAAGTATCTGGTATAGGTCTTGCTTTTGGCCATTTTGTCAGGTATTCTGTTGCAATAATGATATATTTATTTTCTTATTTAGTTTCTGATAAGGGTTCTACGACGTCCATTCTATTCATATCAAAAGGCTAATTTACTACTATTAGGTGTAAAGGATTAGTTTTTAGAGGCTTTCCTCTTTTTTAACAGGCATCACATGCTTGTATATATTCTCTAATATGTTTTTGCATTCCTGGCCAAAAGTATTTCTTTGCAATTGCTATATATGTTTTGTCAAAAAAAAAATGTTCTGCACTTGGATCATAGTGCATTTGGTAAAGAACTGCTTCTATTTTATTAATTTTTAATACTCGAAGGGATATAGAATTATTAAGAGAAAGCTTTTTAAATAATAAATTGTTTTGGATAAAATAAGAAATAGCTTTTCGTTTAATACTAGATTTTTGTGGGAAAGATAAATTAGGTGGAAAATTAAGAGTTTGGAGATAATTATAAATAAGATTATAGATAGGGATATCCATAATAAAATATAATAAATATTAAAATATAATAATAATATAAATAAATAAAAATATTGCTTTGATTTAGAGTTTAGATTTGTTGGGTGAGTTTGGATAGATCATCAGTATTTTTATGTATTTTTCCTGCTCTATGTTGTACAGAAAAATTGTAACCTTGGAGTTTCATAATCCAATATGCAAGTCTTCCTGTTGGATTAGCAATTTTGAATAGAGAGCATAATGCAGAATAATCAGTAATAATTGTAAATTGTTGTCTATGTATATAAGGGTGAAAGTGTTTAATTAACCATACAACAGCTAGACATTCTAGTTCTGTTGCAGAATAATTTTGTTCAGATTTGTTTAGAGTTCTGGAGGCATATGCTATAGCATATTCTTTATCATCATCTCCTATTTGGGATAATATTGCACCAAGGGCTATAGTTGATGCATCTGTATAGAGTAAAAATTCTTTGTCAAAATTTGGGAATATAAGAATAGGGGCTGTGATAAGTTTTTCTTTTAAAGTTTCAAATGCTTTTTGTTAATCTTCTTTTTATTTCAGTTTAATATTTTTTTTAAGTAGTTGGTTTATTGGGGCTGCTATTTTTGAAAAATTGGCTATGAATCTTCTATAATAGGAAGCAAATTCAAGAAAAGCTGTATTTGGATAATAGTTTTAGAGACAGGATAATTTTTGATCTTTTCTATTTTTGCTGGGTCAGGTGAGACTCCATTTTTACTAATTATATGTCCTAAAAATGCTAGTTCTTGTTTGATAAAAAAGCATTTTTCAGGTTGAAGTTTAAGGTTTGCTTTTCTAATACATTCAAATACAAGACGAAGATGTTGGATATGTTTATCAAAAGTTTTAGAGAAAATATTGATATTATTAAGATATATTACAACAAACTTCCAAAGATATTCTTGTAGTATATTGTTCATTAAACGTTAAAATGTGGCTGGGCATTAGTTAATCCGAAGAGCATTACTTTGAATTCATATAGTCCATGTTGAGTAGTAAATGCAGTTTAAGGTACATCTTGAGGAGCTATAGCTACTTGCTAGTAACTACTTGCTAGATCTAGAGAAGTGCACCATCCAGATCCTTGTAATATGTCTAAGAGTTCATTAATTCTTGGTAAAGGATAACTATCCTTTTTACTTACTGTATTTAATTTTCTATAATCTACGCAAAAATGTACTTTTCCATTTTTCTTTTTGATGATAACAACTGGAGAGGCCCAAGGACTTTTAGAAGGCTGAACAAGATCTGGTTTTAACATTCCTTGAATTTCTTTCTTAATAAAATCTGATTCTTTAGGTGAGGTTTGATAAAATTGTTAATTTATAGGTTTATTGTTTTCAACTTTGATTTCATATTGGATTTCATCAGTTCTTTCTAGGTCAGAATCATTTTGAGCAAAGATATCAATATATTCATTAACAAGATCATAAAATTCTTCTTGTTGTTTTCATCTAACTCTCTAACATTAAGTTTAGGAGGAGGGTCAAAAGAATCTTCCTGTTGCTTGATATTCTGACTACACTATTTTAGTTTTTTAAGATATTAACGCATATAATATTGATAATTTACCTTTAAAACATTTTGAAACCCTTACTTTTACTATTAGATATCAACAAAGTTTAACTCCTTTAGTATTTGATTCTTTACCTATTCAAATCTATACTGCTTATCTTCGAACAAATCGATTTACTTTAGATCTATTTTTAATTCTTTATAATTATAGTAAAGTAGAATCTGAAATTTTTGAAACTTCTGATTTATCTAAATTTGATTTAGAACAATTATATCAAACTCCTATACCTTCTCCTCCTATTACTCTACCTTTATTACTTCTAAATAATAATAATATGACATTACAAGCACAAGATATTAATAATTTAATTAATACTATTCAAGCACTAAATAACTGGATTCAAAATCAAACAAATGCTGTTGCTAATAATACTAATCATCTTGGACAAAGAGAAACTAAACTTATCAAAATTATACTTTTTGCTGGTGGTAACCAAGATCCAGTTACTTGGATTAAGGAATTTGAATGTATGGCTGTAGCCAACAACTTTACTAATACAAGAAGACTACAAATTATTTCTGCCTATCTTAAAAATAAAGCAGCAATTTAGTATAATAATGCCAACCAACAACAAGCTTTTGGACACTAGGATATACAAAATTAGCCAATAGTTTTAAACCTTGATTTCTTAACCAATTCTGAACTCCTGTTCTTATTGACATTTGGGCTACTAAACTAACTCACTGCATACAAAGACCAACTGAAACAGTAGACCAATATGTTATGTATCTACATGAATTATATTGTTGATTAGAAACAAATGCTAATGTTTATCCAGAAATAGAAAAGTCTGTAAATTTACTACTAGTTTAAGAACAGAATTACAAATGGGAGTATATCTATTTGGTGAAAATACTTGGGATGAAGTAGTTAACAGAGCAAAAACCTGTGAACTTACTCATTATAGTGCTGCAATATATATTACTTCTAATCTTAATAACAATATTGTTACTCCAACTCCTACATCTTCTAATTCTGTTAAAATTATAATGGAAGCTCTTACTAAATGTATAGAAAACCTTGAAAAGAAGATTGAAAAGAAATTAGAAAACAACAACCATCTTGAAAGAAACAACCAAAACAATAATAATAACAATAACAATAATAATCAAAAAGGACCTGTTTTCTTTAATTGTTTTCAACCTAGACATATTGCCTGGGATTGCCCTAACTCAAGAAATAATAACAACCAACAAAATAACTCTCCAATAAATAATAATAATCAACCTAGAAATAATCAACACAGAAACAACAATTGTCCAAACCCTATTCAAAATAATAACAATCAACCACAAAATAATAATAATAATAATAACTCTAATCACATTACACAACAATTAGCCACTCTCTTACAACATTTAAACTTGAATCAGTGTCAGTGAATACAGAAGGTTCAGATGCTTCTGAAGACAATACAAACCCTTTTATAATCTATTTAAAAAAAGAAGATAAAAATAATATTAATGAAGCCTATGTAGGAAAAAGAAGAAAAGTAGTAGAAGAAATAAAACTCTAGAAGTTCAAAATATTGTAGTAAATAACCCTCAAGAAGAAGGTTCTAAACTCCTAAAGCTAACAAGAAAAGAAATTCTTTACAAGGTTCAAGATTTCATAAACTAAAAATTAGTAAAGATGTATCAAAATATTCAATTGTTGAAGACTTACAACAAATCAAGACAAATATCTCTATTGCTCAACTTGTTGCTGAAAGCCCCAAATACCTAAGAGAGCTAAGTAGAAGCCTCTGAAAGAAAAAGATTAAATCTGCTCCTAAACTTATGATTATTGCCCAATATGCAAATGATAGAAAATTTAAAACTACAGCATTATATTGTCAAGCTAATGTTAATGGAGTTACTACCAATATTATTCTCGATAGTGGTTCTACTGGAAGTATTATCTCTAATCATTTTCTTAAATGTATTGGCTTAAAAATTACAAAACTATCAACAACTTTAATGTCAAATGTAAATGGAGAAAAGAGAAGACCTCTTGGAGAAGTAGAAAACTTACCTATTAAAATTGGAGAATACTCTTTACCAATTGATATAGTAGTTGCAGATACTGATATATACTCTGTAATTGTTGGTAATGACTGGTTATCCAAAGCCAAAGCAAAAATTAACTGAGAAAAATCAGTAATGAAGATTAAAAACAAAGTATAAAAATTCAAGTTCCTATTGAATTTAGATATGTTACTGGAATTCCAAGAGTGAAGCTATATTCAAAAAAAAAACAAAAGAAGAAAGCTTTGATAAAGTGAAAGTGAATATAAATCCTCAAGTAAATCTGATGAATTAACTGAATATGAAAATAAACAACTTGAAGAAAGAATCTATACTCTTAATCTTTTGCAAGAAATGGAAAAAGAAAACTT